TATGCTTAAAACTAGCAAGGTCAAAAACAAAATTTTTCAACATTTTAAGATTTAAAATAAGTTTTTGAACAATTAACCAAATTGAAATGAATATAAATTTGCCCATTATTTTATTGTATGCAAAAATTTGAAACTCTTCCAACATTTTTTCCTTCAATTTTTCTAATATTTTTATGACATACTACAAAAAACCTTTTTTAGCCATAGGGTTTCGCATTTATAAAATCAAAGATATGTTTGTAGACTGGAAATTAACTTCTTTCAATATAAGTGTTAAAACCAAGCTTGAAGTATCTTAATCAAAGGTTTTATAACAAATCAAAATTTAAACGGTGAGAGATCACCCAGATAATTTCACACAGAATTTTTATTTTGCAATTACAAATTTGAGGTTATGTAAAGTAACAAAGTTTTCTACTAATTATTTATTACTTTACATTAGTTAAATACCATTTATTTGTGTATTTACAGTTATGAAATTATCTAAAAAGATAATTTTAAAAAAATATCTTTATTATAGGAAAAATCTTTAAATATTATGAATTAAATATCAACAACTTATATAATTTGACATAAATATTTATAATAAAAGACTATATCAACGACTTACAATGTAAAAGATTAATAATACCTGTTTATCTTTATCCTCTATAATTGATTGATACAATTTATTTTCCTTATCTTTAAGCATAATAACTCGTGCATGATCAGCTAAATCTCTTGCACGCTGGATTGCAAATGTCTTTTTGATATTAGCAACAACTTTTGATTCTTCTTGGGACTTTTCTAACAAAACTTTTTTCAGCTAGAAAATAAAAAAACAATCAATATAAACCTTGGATATCCTTACAACAGCATTTGCAATTCAGTGGTTAAAATTCAGTGAAGGTTGAAACTGAACAACTATAAGTTTCAAGTTTTAAAATTTTATTAAAGGAAATGGAGTACAACATGAGGAACTTTTTAATTAACAAATTTTTTGTTTTTATGATAATTTATTGCAGATTTTTTCATTGCAGAATAAATACTATAGTAAAAAAAAAAGAATAAATATTTTATAAAAGAAGAAAAAAAAAAAAAAAAGTCTTTAATTCAAAAAAATCAAATAATACTGTGAGAATAATGTAGCTTAATTATTATTATATTCATAATATTCTTTTAGGTCTTTCTTTTAAATCAAAAGCGATTTAATATATACAATGTTTTATATGGGTTCACAGTGCATCATTTTTATATGGGTTCACAGTGCATCATTTTTATATGGATTCACAGTGCATCATTTTTATATGGATTCACAGTGCATCATTTTTATATGGATTCACAGTGCATCATTTTTATATGGGTTCAAAGTGCATCATTTTTTATAATTTCACAGAATAAGAGCAATAGACAACAATTTGAATCTGAAGCAGTTCATTTTTTAAACAATGACAAAAATTCTACAAAAATAATTTTTTTGCATTTACTTAGATACTCAGATGTTATTATTCAAATCTTTAAGTGTATGGTTTGAGCATTAGTATTTGAGAAATTTTTAATTACCTATTACAACAATCTTTAGTAAAATTGACCTTAAGAACAATTAAACTTGATACTGTATCTTTAATATACCAAATATTTCACAGTTTAAAAAACAGACAGCATTCATAGATTATAATGGTTAATGTGGTATAAGTTAAAACAACTGTTACATTTTATGGTAAAAAAATATATGGTGGGAGGCATTTTCAGAAATTATGCTCTATACCATTATTAATTAAAAATACAATTAGCTTGATACTTATTTTTTAATTTTAAAACAAATATCAGGGTATTTAAAAAAAATCATACTGCATCATTCCAATTGCATCTAAATTGCTCAATTTGCTCTTCAAGTGTTTGAACTAAGGATTCAAGTTCAACATTTCGTATTACTAGATGTTTGAATTCTTCTTCAGCTTTTATTGAATTTAATGTTAACTAAATGAACAAAATAAATAAAAGTATAGTCACAATAATAAATATTGGGTTCGTGTTTACAAACCTTTTAAAAGTATTTTAAAAGATCCGTAAATAAAGATGGATTGATATTTACTATATCATTTTACTCATGTAACTCACTTGAGCTCATGTAATTTAATACTGTAAATCAATTTAATTGTAAAACTCACTTTAATCAAATTGTAAAAATCTTAATAAAAAAACTTTCTTCGCTCCATTACTTTTTTGTTTAGACTTTTCTATAACACCTAATTTTTGACTAAAGATCATCATCTTTGCTTAAAAACTTCTTTGCACCTCATAAACTTTGCCTTACCATTTCATTAATGTTGTATACAAACTTGTGTGTAAAATTTTGTATATAAACTTGTTTTTAAAAGTTAATCATGTTATAAGGTCAAACCAATATTTGAGCAAACTTAAAACATTAAAATTTATAAAAAGTCACATATGATTTCAAAAAAAGCTAACTTTCAATCAGCTTGTAGAAACTTATTTTTTGTGTTAAATATTGCACAAACCTTAATTAAAAACTAAAAAAAGGCTATGTAATAATTGTGAAAAAAAATTTTTTTTCACCTCCCTCCCAGTTCCTCAGTTTCTCCCTCAGTTCCGAAATACTGTTCCGATTTAATGGTTTTTTTGTTTCGAAATACAAATCTAATTTGATTTTATTACTAATTTTGAAATCAAATATGTTTAATAAAATTATTTTTTTGAAAAAATAAAAAATTATTAGAAAACTTGTATTATGGGCCACTATGTCCCCCCCTCCCCAGCCCTTTTTTTAATGTTATTTTCTTTTTTTTAGCTAAGCAGATTTGTAGTTCATTATTTATTAATTTAGGTTTTTTAGTGCATCGCCGCCCCCATCCCCTAAAATTTCACGCCCTGGTCTATGTGTATGTGCATAAAACCACAAGATTGTGTAGCTATATACCACAATAAATCTACCTTATTTTTGTATATTTATTTGTTAACACATGCTTATATATGAAAATATAATAAACTAAATCAAAAAACCAGATTATTTATAGCTATAAAAATTTAAGGGGTTTTTATAGAATACTTTGTTTAACAAAAAGAGAAATTGGTAGGTCTCCTCTAGTGCTAAATGAATGATATCGAAGCTGTAAATATTTGAGAATAAGTAAAAATTAGCTATATAATATTTACTGCTAAAAGTTTTATGCATTAGCAATGATCGAGTAAAAAAAATTTTTGTTAAAAGATATTAGATATTAGACTTATTATACAAAAATAATAAAAAACAACTATAATGTAACATAACTTGCAAAAACAACTATAACATAATGTAACATGCAAAAACAACTATAACGTAACGTGCAAAAATAACTATAAAGCTGCTATAGTTTGCAATCATGGTTTAATTTTTAATCTTTGGGTTTATGGCTGTCAAAAACCGAAAATAAAGCTTATTTTTGTGATAAAACTTTTTTTAAATAACTCTTTGTTTGAGATTTCTTAAAGTTCTTTGTGAAGGCAAAGTAAACATTTTTTTGTGCTGTTACTATGTGCGGGATTTTTTAACTATTAACCAGGTAAAGTTGGGTGTTTTTTTGAGGTTTTCTTTTATTTTAATTTGAGGGTTTTTTATTTGTATTTGGAAAGGGTGGGTAAATTTTCCAGTTTTTTATCTATAATACATTATAAATTGAAAAATGTTCTAATGTCACTCTGTTTTAGTTTTGAAGTTACGTCTCTATCGAATATAATCGAGATAGCATTGAGCTTTTGTTGCAAATCTTCACCCACAAGTGTGTGAAGATTTTGTTAGTTAGTGATATTCGGGAGTGCCTCCTGAATATCACTAACTTTTGGGCAAACTGGATTGATTGCATTATCATCATCATTATCTTCCTCATCATTATCATCATGTTCATTGGCTGCATTTTTAACTTCTTCTACCGACTATTCATCTGTAAGTAAAGGTTCTGTGCTAATTAAGCTTTCATCTGCAAAAACAACATCTTCAGCTGTTGTACCTGGAAAGTAAAAATTATCAAGTTTTTCTATCTGATAATGAACCTCTTTAAAGAGGTTGTTGTCTTCATTGAATATGCAGATTTCTGCTGATCTTCAGAAATTCCTGCTTTTACAAAACAATTAATGATGGTGGAGGTTTTCACTTTTTGCAAGATCAAGCATTTTCATTGCATTTAAAATTGAGAAAACAAGAAGATCTTTTTTTTATCAATAGCTACGAACAGCCTTTGCAATGCCAAAGATCTGTAATAAACTTTCAAAGAGCGTATAACTCATCGATCCATTACTTGAAGTTTAGATGTGGTATTCGTTGGTAAAAAAAATGAGCTCAATAGATTTTAGATTATCAACGGCCAGGTGTGCTGGACAGTTATCTATTATGAACGCTTTTTTCTTTTTTTCTTTTGTAAACTTTGTATCCGTTTCTCATATCCACTCTTCAAACAGCTATCCATCTAGCTTTTCTTTTGATTTCTGTATCTGCAAGGTAAGTGCTTAATTCCTTTGAAGCAGCAAGGTGATTTTCCTATTACAAATATAGGAATTTTATCATCTGCTGCACTAGCTGCGACCATTCCTGTAAGACGAATTTTACTGTGGTTTCCCCCTATACATGTCTCAGATTGAAGATTAAGTGACTTATTAGGTTGCATACGAAAAAACAATCCACATTCATCTGCATTATAAATTTCATCAAGTTTATATCTGGATAAAATTGTGGGGAGAGTTGTTTCCTTCCATGGCGTGATCATTTCAGCTGTACAAGAGTTACTCTCTTCAAATACCATCTTGAAAGAAACATTATACCTATTTTTCCAACAATCAAGCCAACCACCAGACGCTTGAAATCCATTTATATTAATTTTTTCAGCAAGTTCTCTGGCTTTTGTTTTAAGAATTGTTGCTGATACTTCCACGTTTCTGCTACTTACATTTTAAAGCCATTTAAAAACAAGATAATCTAAATTTGAAAATGTTCCTTCTTTAATTCTCATACGTTTAGACTTGTTCCCTTGCATCTTCATACATTCAAAAAATTTTACTTTATTTTTGATCCATGTTGACAGCGTATTTTTTGGAATGCCATATTTTATAGCAACCCGAAACTTTGACAATTCTTCTCCAATTTCCCTTAAAGCAGGGTACTTTTCTTTAATTGATTTTGTATTCATTTTTCTCTTTACAGCGACAGTAGCCATAATAAAATGTAAGCACAACAAATTTTATTATAATATTGATATTGATTATTGCAACGCACATAAGTATAACTTAAACAATAAACTTAATCAAACTATTATTACAGTTAACATTGCAACAATGCAAGGACTTCATTGCAGTTTTTTTTTTTCATATTTTTGCTCTAAAGTTCGAGTTATTGGAAAAATATTAGCTATGGGAACAAATAAAATGGTTCGACTTAGCGAATGTTCAAATTAACGGGTGTTCGAGTTATCAAGCTGTTTTTATGTGAAAGTATTAGTGAGGGTTTAAAGGGAACTCAAAAGTAATTCAAATTACTGGAAGTTCGAGTTATCCGGGGTTCGAGATATTGGGATTTCACTGTATTTTAAAACTGTTTTAAAAACACCAACAATATTTTTTCATTAATTTGTGAGCCAATTTATTTTACTTCACCATTATTTTATTATCATGGTATATTCCAATGTCATATTAACTTATCATTGTAAAAAGCGAGTTTAGTATATATAGGCCCACTAGTTCACAAATATCCACACATTAATGTGAACCACACAAAAATGTGAACCATTTGTGTGTGGATATTTGTCAAATAATATGAAAATACAATTTAAGTGAGCTACAGCTCCACCAAAAACATTAACAGAATAATAAAAAAAAGTCATAACTAAAAAGTCATATCTAAAAATTCAGATGAATACCCACCATGCAAAAGAAACTTGTGGACTAACTACAAATACTATTTTATAAATAAAAAAACTGCCAATTTTAACCACCTTTTGCAATTATAAATGGCATATAAAAGAAAACTTCAAAAAAACACCTAAACCTAGTTAAAAAAGTTCTTGCGCATAGTAATGTCACAAATGAAATAATTTCTCCACAAAAAACTTTTAAATAATCTTTAGAAAAAAGTTTCAAAGCTAAATTATAAACGCTAAGGTTTAATTACTTTGTTCTTTTGTTTACTACGAAGTTCTTTTGTTTACTACGAAGTTCTTTTGTTTACTACAAAGTTCTTTTGTCTACTAAAAAGTTCTTTTGTTTACTACAAAGTTCTTTTGTTTACTACGAAGTTCTTTTGCTTTTTAATAAGTTCTTTTGTTTACTACGAAGTTCTTTTGTTTACTACGAAGTTCTTTTGTTTACTACGAAGTTCTTTTGTTTACTACAAAGTTTTTTTGTTTACTACAAAGTTCTTTTGTTTACTACATTTAATAAAAAGAGTTAACGATTCTTTGTAAAGAAAAAACTTCATTTACTAAATAAAAAATTAGATTGTTATATTTATTTAATGCAATTAATAATTACATATACTTTTTACGCAATGTAAAAAAAATCTAAATCATCATGTTTATAATAAAGACAAAATTAACGATACTTCTCACTGTTTCATAACTCTAAAAGATCACAAAAAAATCAAAATCATCATGTTTATAATAAAAACAAAATTAACGTTACTTCTCACTGTTTCATAATTCTAAAAGATAACAAAAAAATCTAAATCATCATGTTTAAGAAAGAAAACTTCCTAAACAAACCTATTATTCGACTTAAAAATTCGGCCAAAAATGATGTTGAAAGATTTTCAAAACACATTTTAGAGTAATTTCAAATCAAATCACCCAGCCCACTGAATAATGCATCTTCCTTTTTTTTTTCTCTTTGAAATGATTACTATTTATAAAAAAAAGTTGCATGCAAAATTTCAGTAAAAAATGTTGAGCAGTTGACAAGATATAACAATTTTAATATTGACCAGGTTTCCTAAAATG